AAGTATTTCAGGGGAGCCAATTCCAGGCGACGAGGCATTTCACGCAGACGAACTACTGCAAGGACGTCAGCGATGAGGCTTTGTACGAGATCGCGCGACGGAGTCAACAGAAGTTCGTGAGTGATCAAATGGAGAGGGTTGCCAGGTACGCGGCGGAGCGCGGAGTCGATGTGCCTAGCACGGGTGGTGTGAGGGGAGGAGAGGTGGGGCGGCAGCCCGTGGAGGGAGCGTTAGGAGGGGTCGGGGAAGATGGTGGAGGTGGAGACACGGAGGAGGGCGCGATCGACGTCGATCGTGAGGCGCGTGTCCCAGGCGAGCAGGGAGTCCCGGGACACGAGGACGTGCCTGAGGTTTATCCAGGCACTGGGGAGAGGATGGAGGATTTTTTGAGGCGAGCAGCCAGGGGACTTGTAGGGGAGGGTTCTTCCAAGAGGAAGGAAGGTGGAACAGATCCGGCCGCCGCCCCAGGTGGGAAGAGGCTTCGCCAGCAGAAGGTCACTGACGTCTACGGTGGCGAGTGGGTTGCTCGCCACAAGAAGACATTCCTTCGTTGGCTCTATTCCAGCGGGGTCCCCTTCAATGCCTTCCGCAACCAGGCTTGAAAGGCATACCAGCAGGTCCTTCTTGAGCAGCCTGGCAGTTCCCCGCGCGCTGTGCTCCCTAGCCACAGCGAGATTGCGAGTATGCAGGCGGTGGAGACCCACCGTGAGGAGCTGGCAGAGGAGTTGGAGGAGGTGAGGCAGCCATTCTGGATCATTGGTGCCACCCTCCTCTCCGACGGGACGAAATCATGAGACGGGAGACCGATCGTAAATTTCCTTGCCGCCGGCTCGCGAGGGGTCGTCGTCTACACAACGATCAATCGCGAGGGCGAGCCGGACGATGCAGTGCACGTCCTTCGGAGATGGGTGACTATCTTCCACGAGTTTAGTTTCGGCGGCCCGCAGCGGGTCAATGCGATATGCACAGACTCCACATCAGCGTACGTGGGGGCTGCGAGGGCATTGGCCTCATCGGGCATCCCTCCTGCAATCAGGAGGATCACTTGGCTTCCGTGTTCTGTCCATGTCTGCAACAAATTGTTGTCAGACATGGGGACGAGTTGCGACGCGTTTGTGGACGCGATTACACGCGCTCGTGCTCTGTTGGTGGTTTTCAAAACCCACCAGGCCGCCCTTTATTTCTTTAGGAAGCGCAGCCCCAACAAGGGGCTTGTGCTTTCTTGCGAGACGCGATTCACGTCTGTTTATTCTATGTTGGAGAGACTGTTGGCCCTGCAAGACGCTCTGCAGGCGATGATGCGAGGGGATGATGGGCGGGAGTTTGCTTCTATACCGTGGTCCGCCGATGTGTGCGACATGGCGCGTTGGGTGCGCCGGCAGATCAGATGGGAGCCTTGGTGGCACACGATGGCCACCATAGTCCACATCATGCAGCCCGTCATGGAGCTGCTTAGGAGGATGGATCGTGGGGGGCAGTACATGTCCCTCATGATCGAGTGGACACAGGATCTTGTCCGCCGTGTCACTGCGGCATGCGCTCGTTTGGGGAGGGTTTTCGCTGACCGCATCATCAGGCGTGTGCAGGCTCGCACACAGCACATGCTGAAGCCTGCTCACTGCGCGGGGTTCTTACTGAACCCCCGCAGGCGACATGTTGAGTATTTTTCGGGCGAGGTGAGGGATTACCCTCATTGGCTTGTAAGGCAAGCCTAGAAGTACATTTTGACGCAGACAGGTTACGAGGAGGATGGTGTGGAGTACATCATTGCATGTCGGCAGTTTTAGGACTTCCACATGCAGCAGGGCACATTTGGGGATTGGGGAGGGGGGGAGGGGCGTGCTCGTGGGCGTGCTTGCAGCGTCGACAGGGAGACGATCGAGTGCGCGTCCTGGTGGTCTCAGTACGGGTCTGGCGCGCCTGAGTTGCAGCGCTGCGCTCTTCATGTGATGCACATGTGGTCTTGCACTTCTCCAGCGGAGAGGAACTGGGCAGTCCACGAAGGCATTCACACATAGAAGCGCAACCAGTTGGCCTTTGAGAAGGTCATTCAGCTCGTTGAGATCACTGCGAATGTGCGGTTGTCGGAGTATCGGCGGGCTGGGTGCGGTTATGTGCTGCCATGGCAACGGGACGAGGGCATGCTAGACTGCCAGACTGGACTGGAGTTGGAGCCAGAGCGCACGGGCACACACAGGGGGATGACGCCGGAGGAGATTGCCCGTCAGGTTGCGCTTATCACCCGGGATCCTATCGGGGTCTCCGCACCACCCGCCGCTGAGGCCGTATTCGGTAGACATGCTTCCATTTTCCGTCCTTACCCCAGGTAGGATGATTCCGACGAGGAGCCGGTACCCGAGGCAGCGGACGACCCTGCGCTCCACATTCCCCGTGAGATCGACGAGACGCAACCTGAATCCCGAAGAGGACACCGGGGCGCATACTGCACGACGGGACGCTGACAGGGCGGAGAGGGAGATGATGGGGGGAGAGGAGGAGTTGTGGGGACCGTTCGGGGAGGTCGTTTCGACGGGCGGCACAGGAGCGCAGGCGACGAGCCCCGCTCCGACGAGGCAGGAGTCGTCCATGCCGCCACGTTCTGCTCTGAGTCCTGCACCGCCATCGCCCGTCGCGCCATATGAGCTGACCACAGTAGAAGAGGACACGAAGGAGTTGGCGTCCTCTTTGCCTCAGCGCAGACTACTCCACAGAGGCGGGGCAGTCCGACAACTGAGTTACAATCACCTTCTCCGGGGGTCTTGCAGGAGGGGGGGGGACCGTTGGCAACAACAGTGGAGGGGGAGATGGCAGTGGAGGGGGGATTGGCAGACACGACGATTGCAGGTGTGGTGGACCAGATAGCTGTAGCAGCAGCGGCTTCATTGCTAGAGGAGATGGCAGCTTCAGTGTTGGCAGAAGACGCACCAGCGCCAGGGGGAGCAGATGCAGTGGAGGGGCAGGCGGGAGTAGCTGGAGGAGCAGCGGGGGGAGCAGCTGGAGGAGCAGCTGGAGGAGCAGCTGCACTCGATGGGCTTGTGGCTGCAGCAGTAGGAGCAGCTGGAGGAGCAGATGCAGTGGAGGGGGGAATGCCAGGAGCAGTGGAGGAGGAGATAGGGGCATAGGCGGAGGTGTCGCGTGGGGGCGGCGACGAGCGCCTCATGCAGCAAGTCCTCACAGAACAGTACGATCCGATCATCGCAGGTATGACCCGAGGTGTGGCGAGGGGGTTGGGGATGTCGGATTCGCAGATGGGGAGCCACCTGGACTTAGACTTGTCGATGGGCCTTCCACCTAGTTGCGGCGGGGCAACATCGACGGATCGCGCTCCATCGAGGGACGATGCCGCTAGAGAGAGTCTCACGCAGCCCCAGAGAGTGACGACGACTGGGTCTCCGGATGCGGCACGTGACATCCTAGAGCGAGAGAGGGCTCGACTTATGGCATCGACTAACCCTTGTGCTCAGGCATTCGCACGGGCGTTGGAGGACGCGAGGCGTCGAGAGACAAGGGGGATTGTGTGGAGGGTGGGGTCACTGGGGTGGTTGCGGGGGAGGATGTTGAGGAGGGGGTGGCAGCCGAGGCAGGGGTGGGGTGGTGGCGGGGTGGCGGGGGAGGACGTTGTGGAGAGAGTGGTAGCATGGGCGGACGCTAAGGCTGTGCAGGGTGGGCGAGAGGCAGCGAATGTTCATGTGAAGGGCTTGCAACAGGCGGTGGATGAGGCTGTGCAGGAAGGACGGCGGCGAGACGAGGGTGTGTGTGACGCACGATGTGTGGTCCGGGAGACAACGACGGGTCTAGTCGTTCCGTTCTCGGGCCTGCACTTGGCTCAGGGCCGACAGTCGCAGCCGGTGCCGGTGGCAGTGCATGGTGTGCCGCCGCCCATTATCACAGATTTGGGGTCCGAGCCGGTGGTTGCGCCACCGCATCTTCCTAGTCACTTTGCTCCGCAAAAGGTCCGCCGTCCTTTGGATGCAGACGAGTTGGCGAGAGAGGCTGTCCGCGATGTGACTCGCCTGGACTGGCGGGACTTTGACCAGAGGCTAGAGCATCCACCATGGCAGGCGATCCCTCCAGTTCCATGGGGTCCTGTGTCGCCGGTGTGGTCTGGGTCTACCTCCACCGGAGCACGTACGGCGGGAGATGTTCCAGGGGTTTCAGGTGGCGTCGTGGAGAAGGCGCCACGTACACGAGACATGGCACCCCCTCCTCCTAGACCACCTGTAGCTGATCCGTCATCGTCGCCCACAGGCAGAGGCTCTCGATCTCCACACACGCCTGGGAGGTCTAGGATTCGGGACACTAAAGCCGTTGTGGGGGACGTGAGTAACACAACATTGTTCGGGAGGATAGACATAGATTTGGATTCCACCTGTCGTGTCACGGAGCACACTGCACGTCTACAGCCGGGTTTGGGACCCCGCGGCGGCAGGATGACCGCAGCGAGGGACGTGGCAGCATCAGGTTGTGAGCCTCAGCGAGGTCGCGATAGAGGAGTGTTCGTCGATAGCTTGGAGTATGCTCTGATGGCAGCGACGCGTGCCGTACATGAGCAGACTCCACGCAAGCGCGGAGTGCCTCCTCGTCCACGCCCCGTGCCCGCAGAGGGAGGAGATGCACTTGGAGAGACTTCGGGGGCAGAGGGGTTGGGGATGCCTCGTGGATCGCGCCGTGAGCAGACGGTTACAGAGGCTAGTGCGAGGGTTGTTGTGTTGAGGAAGGCAGGAGCCGCTGTCACCATTGAGGAGGATGATCCTGAGACAGATGTGGCAGTGCGGGAGGAGGACGAGGACTATGAGGGCGAGGAGGAGGGAGAGGAGGAGAGCGAGAGAGGTTCTGATGGTGACTACGACCACAACAAGCACGAGCCCCCACTTGCCCCATCGAAAGGTGCAGCCAGACGGCGCACTGCGCAGACTTCTTCATCATCACGAGGGAGGAGGAGTTCGACATCCGGCACGGGAGGGGGTACGAGGAGACAGAGCGGGAAGGGGAAGAAGCGTCGTTGACTGATGAGGCCAACACTCCTTTTTCCCCTGCTCGCACTGCGGTTCGTCATGTTGTGCGGTCCTACTTTTTTTGGTCGTCTCATCTTGTCTTAGTGTTGTGAGGCTCTCAGTGGTTGTGTACGTGCAGCGTGATACAAATGTATTAGATGATGTTTCCTTTGTTTTCGGTGTGTATCATTTTGGTACCAGTATGGTGTTCGTAGAGTAGCGTTGTACGAGTAGGGTGTTCGCAGAGTAGCTACGACACGACTTGTACACTACAATTTCGTTTGTTTTTTTTCGACATGTGGTAGTATAGTGGTACCACTGCCTTAGCAGTAGCCTATCGGATACATTGCATATGTTGCATTTTTCATTTCTATTTTCAGTGACAGGTAATTTGCGTCGTTGAGGACTTTTCATGCACAGTACATTTTCCATGTACAGTTTCAGTTTCGATTGATGCTCGTCGTGGTCGGCGTGCGCGAGCTTTCGTGACCATTTTCATCTGGTGTGATTTTATATATTTCATTGTTGTTATCACTTTCAATCTCATTTCCTGCGTTTGACGCCGTTTGTTTCTTGTACAATTCTACTTTAGTTTTTTGCCTGAAGAGTTGCTTGTGTGGTTGTTCTTTTTTTTCTTTTTTCTTTTCTGTGTTGATTGTTGAATCAAATTATCATTGTATGCAGTACTAACTGATATTTGGGGGGGGGGAGG